AAAAGAAGCTGGGTTCCTTCAGGGCTGACGGAAGTTCTGTCTAAAAACTGGACCAATTTTTCTTAGTGAATAAACTTTCTTGCCCTTTTTCTGTTTCTAACTAACTAATTAGTAATTACCATATCCACGTGCATGTTTGTGGACATTTTTAACAGTTTAAGGACTAGTTTATAGAACATTTCATGTGACTGGTGAGTCAGTCGGTCACATGATACTTTATTGCCGCATTAGAAATTTAATCGCAGTCATATATTTAATTGAGCTTTCGTAAATCGGCTCTAAGTGTTTAACTAACATTTGTACTATTTTTATTTGCGTTGTTAAATATCAGACTTTTGCAAAATATGAAAAATGAACAGCATTCGTGATATGCTGGTGTTGGTTCTACCCCTACCAGTCAATCTATTTAGTTTTTGACATCTTGCTAAATAAGATGTTAAACAATTTTATATAAAATTGATTAACAGAGTTCTGAACGAATATAAATTAGCGCCGGAAATTTGTTCAAAGTTTAATCACTCCAAAGATTTAATATCACAAGTAAATTGCTGTTTATCGAGGTATGCTTGAGGTATAATTAAATAGATTTAGCCTTGATTGAATCAATAATTATGAAGTGTTTTCCATCTACGTAATACGACTGATTCGTAATAGCGTCAATTTCTTGAAAGTGTTTTCTAAAGCGACTCACTTTAATGCAGTTACACAGTAATTAAATGACATTTAAACAATAACGTGTTTGTAATATTTCTACATTCACACCATGGAGTATTGTTAGTAAGTACCTACGTAAGATTCTCATTTACGTGAAAAATGGAAGAAAAACTGAGTCCGTATCTTCACAAGATTCTATATTTCTAACGTTCTATAGGTACATAACAAAAACTATAGTCTCTGTTTAAGTAACCTTTTTCCGGCCCAAGTACGATAAAATAAAAAAAAACATTTTTGACAATCGTAAATAAAAGAAAAGTTTACATCTTAAATATAGATAACAAAATCTCGTGGATATTTTATTCAGTGTTCTAACTAAGAAGAAAAAGCTCAGATGATGCACCCAATTTTTATAGACCAGTTTAACAACTCAGGACCGAATTTTAATAACGTACCGTTCCACAAATATAAATTACTGACAACAAGATTATATAGCTCTTGCAGTAATAAACGTTTTTTATTGGTTACAGATGAGTACATTTATTCCACAATTGCCGCTAGTATTGGTTTTAGGGACATATAAAAGTAAACAGTATTGTTCCCATTAAGTTGCCTTACAGAATGAAAACAGAAGTTATAACTTACAAATTTAATAGACCATTGTGCCCGATACAGTTCGTATGTAGTTGATTTCCAAGAATTTTAATTTATAAAAATTTATTGCAGCAAAAGCAATATTTTTAAGTAAATGTACTTTTTTGCTCTAAATTGATGAACACGTTACGAGTAACGAGTGTTTAATTGAAACAGTCATCAAGTCGGCGTTGCTTGTTTGATAGAAGAAAACGTAGCGAAAAACGTATGTGTTTTTTAAATCCTACTGTTGTGTATAATTAACATTTTCGCGTTGTCAGTTTTCATAGAGTAAATTTTAGGTTTATTGTCGACATACTTTACAGAAAGATGACTTTTGCAATTGAACACCCGATATAGTGTTATTTTATTTAGTTTTAAGGTCAGTGCTGAATAGGGGTAGACAAAATCCGGTTATTAGAATTATAGAAGAAATAACAAGTTAGTGACTTCTAGATTTACTGTGCTATTAAAGTAAGCAAACTTATATCTCAGTTATTTAATTTTTTTGTACCATTATTCATCATTATATAACATAACAATTTAGACGAAAGTCTTTTAGTAGTTACCTCCACCAAACGATTTAATATCAAGGACTTTTACTAAAAATACTTTTCGTATCATACACAGGTACACATTTACTTAAAAATTGTTTCGACATACCTACATACTTGTTGCAATGACTACAAAATCCACAAAACACTGTTCAGAATTATTTAGAAAGATTTCTCTGCCTCTGAAGCAGACTTAAAATATTGTAGTATCTTTTGCAATAAAGATTTAAATTTTTTTTTTTTATTTATAATATTGTTAAGTTGAACGGGTGATTAAAATCGGCGTGGATTAAACTCAACAATATATTTCTCGATAACTCAAATTTACACGACTAACTGCACAGAGATTATGTACAAGATAATTCCGGCGCAACTTAACTGGACTCTGTCTTGACTGAACTGAAACGCCTCCGTCATCGCTTTAGATATCTGGGGCACTCACCGTGACTTCCGCTTCCAGACTTTTCTCCGGCCGCCATCACCGACAATGAGTCATACGCCGTACATACTAGAACCCATAGGCGTCGTATGGGTTTCTTTTCTAACAATATTAAAATAAAATAGAAACGGATTATTAAACCACAGAGGCGCATGTTCTGCTGGATAGTTAAGTGAAATTCTGTTAAAATAATTATATTATCGAGGGATGTCGATAAGTACGAAAAAATAAAAGATTCGTTTCGATGTGGATTACAAGAAAATCATATATTTTAAAAGCAAATTTGGCGACTCTGAACGTACCAACAATTGTATTGCATTAGGTACACCTTGTTGGCAAATGGTATTTTATCAGTCTTTACTTTCCGAGCCTAAGCTAAGAAAATATTGTAATAGGGTCCATCTGGTGAATGTTCTCTGGAAGTTTCGTGACCCCCGGAAATAACTAAACATGGGCCTCACGTTTCCGTCTGTCTGCTGTCTATTATCTGAATCGATTTTTTTATTAAAGATAATCTTAGAAACTACCGAACCGATTGTTTATGTATATTAAATTTTATATGTGTGTTAACAGCATCGTGTAAATAATAAAACGCTAACCAAAATTTATATGAACATCTCCATCCATATTGTAATGACTTCACTGTAAAGTTCACTTAGTAAATGCCATTTCAATGTTGTAAAATTATATACATACTCATGTACTTGTGCTTTATGGATCCGCTTTGATTTTGTTTATTGTTACCATATTTTTTTTGTTTCAACGGTCTTCTTTTTTAGTCAGATAATAATACGTAAACCTAAATCATAGATCTGTGAAGATGAAAAATTGGAAGTTCGATCCCCGGCTGCGTTTACAATTTTTTTTATTCATTATTAGTATTACACTGCACGTGTCGGAATTGACATACGTGTCCTTGCTGAAATGTTGATGGGAACTTTTTCCAGTGGGAAAACTCACTATAAATAATAAGCCTTGCGTTTTACCTATGCATTCATATTTTTGGAGCAGTACTGCTAATATTAGTAGTATGTTGCACATATGTTTACAATTGCGTATGAAGGGTGACTAAAAAACAACCGTTGATATTTTGGAACCTCCAAATTTTGCGTAATATTCTGTCAATATGGGTGTAATTGGGTCCCCTTTCCTATCATCGGTGGAAAAGTGCGAACTGACAATCCGCGTCAGATCATATATGTATAAACAGGTCAACAGAGTATGTTCTCGTACCATAATGCGTTCGAAACAAAAATGTAGTAGCGGAATATGGATGTAGGGTCACATATTTCCGCCAAAGTGCAAGAAGGAATTTTTTCAGTATTTTTCTAGTACTTAACGACACCCTCGATAATGTACCCAGAGGGTGTTGCCGACATTCGAGATAGCCTGTATGTAATGGAAGTTACAGATAAACAAGCACATAGATATTGGGACGAATCGTTAAATTTTTGATACAACGAACAAACACATTTTAATTAACATTTTATTATCTACATGATCATTTAATAGCGCAACTAAAATTTCACAAATCAATAAGTTCAAAGGGTAACTGTCAACCAAGTCGACAAACAAACAGTCGGAGACGAAAGCAATGTCCAGTGTACTCTTTAGGATCTGATAAATTGAAAAATGTAGCGATGTTTTTTGGCATGCTCCCGAACCTATTAATGCCTACAGGTTGTATTGTACAAAAATCGTTCCTGTATCCAACAAAAAATCTTTCATGGTTGGGATGCTGAGGACGTAATGCCAACTATTTCCTGATTATTTCCACCATATCAAGTCCCTAGATGCCACCAACTATTACAAAAAATTCTCTGGAAATTTCGGTTTTAGTGTTCGGGATTTGTATACTTATGGAAAACCAACCCTTCATCCTGAAGCAAGCTCCAGTGATGCTAATTTATCAATGCAACCTAGGAAAAATATTAATTAAAATAATTTGAAGACATTTTAGGCATATCTTGCCTTAGTAAGCAAAAAATCCTTGTCGCCATCTTCTTTCAGGAACCTTTAAATAACTATTAATAATTATTATTACAATATTGTTGTAATGTTGTATATTGATCAGCAACATTTGGTAAGAAAAAAAAAATAGATTTGTAGTCAAATGTACCGTTTCGCCGTCTGATTAAACAAATAACGACTTTAACTATTATAACAAATTCACGTATCGATTTTGTCTGTAGTGTAATACATATTTCCATATAACCTTCATGTTATAGTACAGGGCACAGTAAAATTATTTATCAAATGTGTCAAACAGTTTACCAGAGTTATCAGCTTAATGTGAAGTAATTTTCTAATAACAAAAGAAAATATTTGGCAGGATATTAGGAAAAACTTTATACAAAAATGTATACTTTTTTTTAGCATTTAGTACATTTACTTTATCACCATTGTGTATTTACAGTAGCACAGTAGCATATCAATTAAACTTTTGAAAATTTTCTCTGACTACTTCACCATCAATCAATTACACTCTAATAAAATCGTTGTCTGAGACGCAAGAGCATCTAAAGTTTTAGAAGATTATTGAAAAGTGTAGCACACTTTCACCCCAACTCTGGCCAACAGCAAAAGCCCTCGCAACAGAATAAAGATGTAAATAACCATCCTGCTCCTAACAAATCGATGTTGACATTTTCTCCCATATTCGAATTTTTCTCGTCCGCAACAGGTTGAGCGAATTATCTGCATAGTTGACATTGTTCCAGACCGGACATCGCAGGACTGCGTACAATGGGGACCCCTCGACCGACGCCAGCGTTAGAGGATTTAGAAGCAGCCCCCAGGCGCCAAGCGTCGGTGGACGCGGAGGCCATCCGAATCGTCATCCACGACGTGGATTCTGGCTCGGCAGCCGCCGCCCAGAAACGAGTCATCCTCCGGAGAGATCCCACCGATAAAGCACACCGAAGTAGGTCCACGTTTCGAATGTTAATTTGTAGCCGTTAAGCGAAATCGTTTATGTCGTAAATGTGTTTTACGCGTCACTAACATTTTGTTAAAGGCTTTCACCATCTGCGTCTGAATACGAATAACCAATTTTCGACGTTTAACTATTAAGAACATTTTCGTCGCGTACGCGACAAACTCCAGCTAAGTTCTGTTTTTTTTTCCAGCAGAGGGAATTATAGTATATTTCGAGTTAGTTGGCGAGCGATCACAGTTGATGAATTGACACCACTTTAACTCTCCCTCTAAAGCTAAAGTAGAGTTTTTTTTTCAAATATAAGAAGAATATAGAGCGAGTATTACGTTTACATCTCGACGTTCGGCTTTGATTGTAATCTTCTCGTGAATCTCGGATCCGTAATAATAATCATTACTACTTCTACGTCACCTGTGGTAAATTACCATAACAACAAAGCATATTTTCAACAACTTTTTAAAGACTCATGTTCCATAATAACTTAAACTTCAACTCAAATCTTACATTAGTAATGTTGTTGCGCATTTCACGACAATAAATTATGCTATAGAATTGCCCAATAGATGCAGTGATCACATGAAATCTGCATGAATAGCCCGTGCTAATGTCCAGTTAAGCAGGACATGTGTTATCTAATCAATGACAACGCTGTGTTCGTTATTCATGCGCTTTAATTACTGAATATGTTTTACGATTCTAGTCTGTTTCAAATCACAAAAGGCACTAAACACTATAAAGTGACTGATTTTTATTCCGTCCTTACTTTGTATAAATATATTTTACGGTAGTCTGTAAATTTCCAACGTATTTGTAACATTTGGTGATTTTGTTGCTCCTGTTTTTTGAGACTCTGAGCTTTGCTTATGCTTAATGGAAAAGAGAATGTTTGCGCTACAAGTAAGTATAAAAACTGGATCCTTTTACCATGTAATGTAAACTTTTGAATATTTAATTATCTACGACGATAAATAGTGTAGCAAAATTTTACTTGTCCCACTTAGGTACGTTATGAGTCTCATTCATTTTTTATAAAAACAGATTTTTTTATTTTTTAAACAGATTTTAAATAAATTAGGTAGTAAGTAAGAAAACGTTTATCCATTGCCTAAGTTGTCAGTATTTACTTGTAATTTCCGTGTAAGTTTAAATAATGTACCTGAAAATGTCACAGTGGGTTTCGTATAAGTTTGTAAACTTTCTGAAATTTGTACTAAGTTTGAATGGGAATATTTTTTAATAATGCTAACAATTGTATTCCATGAAAAAAAGTAGCGAAATTAAGGAACAGAACGTTCTTTCAAACATATATTTGAAGTGGAAAGTTTTTATAATAAACACTGTAAAAAAGATTAAAATGTTTATTAATTTAAACTACAAAAATCGTATAAATGTATCAGTAATTTACGTAGATTATTAATTAAAGTTATAAACATATGATCGTTTTCCGGATTAGGACCGTGTCATTTAAGTTTTTGGGCTCGACGTTTCACACACTTTCGTAAATGACATCTTCAGAAGCAGGGTTGAGAAATTAGAAAGAAGGCAAAACAGCACGGTAGGTCACTATGTCAACCATACCAGAGACGAAACTCTTCTGGCAGCAAAGAATGTAGTTGTGACCTTTTTATGGAGGCGTATAGAAACTACATTTTTAGCTGCCAGAAGAGTTTCGCCTCTGGTATGGTTGACATACTGAGTTACCATGCTCTTTTGCCGTCTTCCTAATTTCGCAACCCTGCTTCTGAAGATGCCACTTACGAAAGTGTGCGAAACGTCGAGCCGAAAAACTCAACTGACACGGTCCCAACCCGGAAAACGATCATATATTGACTCCGACCGTGAAAGCCTTCGAAATAAAATTATAGACTTTCAACAAAAAACGTACGCTTCCAGAGCAACGCTTACATCTAGTCAGCAACGAAAGTGTGTTTTTGCTGATTTTGTTTCAAGATAAAGCTTTAGGTTATTAGTAAAGAGTAACTTCCAGCTAGATATTACATCAACAATGTCGTTGAAACAAATGAGAAACAATAATGGTCCTAAGTTCAAACCTTGTGGTATACCAGACCCGGGTGAAAAACCTTTGGATACGAAATTGCGATGTTTAACAAATAATTCTCTTCCCAAAAAGTATGATTTTATAAGTGTTAGTAAAGGCTAAGTAACACCAAAACAATTTCTTTACTAAAATAATAAGATAATGTGATACGCTAAATATTGTTCCAAAGTGTGATCACTAAAACTAATGAGTTCCTAGACTCTGGACTCTAATATCTGATCAAAGGCCCTGCAAAAATATTTGTATATGATATTTACCTGATATTTATTATCAATTGCTTCAAAATACGAATTGGATGAAAGTACTAACACTAGTACCCATAGATTTTTTTCTCGAAAAGCTGTTATAGCTTTTTATATTGAAATAGATATTTTTGTATACTATTAACTCGAAAGATTTGCAAAATTACATAAATGGTATACATATGGGTCTATAATTCTCAACGTGAGATGGGTCGGCTTTTTTCGAAAAACAGTCTTTTAATAAAAAAGTAGGTACTTTACTTTATTACTGCCACAAATGTACCTTAGAAGTTTTCAAAACGTACAAATATACCGAGAGAGCAACTCAAACTTTTTAATTGACAGTAATGGAACAAAACGAAAATTCTATCAAAGGAAAATGTTAAAAACTCCAAATTTTTTATCGTGTTTCTTACTGCTCTTGATATACAATGAAACATAAATTGAAAGAATTACAATACAAGAGATGAAAAATATGGTTTATATAGTATCCCTTTTTATTATTATTTTTTAATTCAACAGTTTAATCTTTTAGACGGTAAATTATGTTGAGAAGTTTTTCTATTGACTGTAACAGGGCTTGAACAGCTAAGGATATTAGCCCCAACTGTGGGCTTTACAAGTCATTATATGCTAATACAGCGGATTTTCAACTCAATAAGTGAGAGGAGTTGACTACGTCGTAGAAAACTTAACACCAGAGTAGGGTCACTAGTTAAGATATTTTGGAGTGTTCCTTCAATATTGAGTTGTGCTCGGGGATTCATAAATTTCGGACATTCTAACAGAGTATGATGAATGGTAAAAGGCCAATTACATGTTACACACGTGAGGGAGTTAAGTCTCTCAAGAATTGAGAAGTTTAATTGCAGTACAGTTTACGGAGTTATGTATTATACTGAAGCGAACTTGAGGTGTTATGAACCTATTTTTATTACGTGTGTTATAGCCAGATAGTGGAATCTTGGAAGTCGCCCATAGGTTCGCGTCCTCGCTGCATTTAGTGGGGGTTAAGTTGAAGTTTAAGTAACTGTGCCTGAATTAGCACTATGTACGTTAGCAATTATTGTTCTGTCAATATTTTCCTCCATAAAACTGAGTTTTTTAAATTATGAAAAAGAGTTTTATGCGCTCTATTTTGTTTAATGAAGCAGCACAGAAGCCAACGTTGCTGAGGTTTGTTCTGCACCAATTTTGTCTATGAGCTAACGTAATTCCTAGATATTTAACACTATCATTTTTAATGAAAATATATTATTGATTTAATTTTTTCTTTATTCGTCGTTGATTTATTAGTTCCCAACAGTTAAGATTTTAATTAATTGAGCATTGTTCGCAAACTTGAACATCGAACATATGTATTATTTCCTCACTTGGTTAAGATGATATTATCAACGAATAAGACGCAACGCATTGTTAATTTAATAGAAGACCGTTAGTATACAGGGTGAGTCACTAAACGTGCGTTCTCTTTTTTACTTTATTACTGCAGCTTATTCTATTTTGTATTCTCATTTCTCTATCTTTAATGTTGATAATTATTGAGATTTTTTACTGTTTTAAGAGACACATAGCCATATTATTAGAATCAGAACAAAAAATGTAGTAAGATACAGTAAGAAATTAGGTGTTCGGTTTGAAAAAATTGAAATATCAATATTTGAAAATTGTAAAGTTTAAAATTATGTATATTAAAATTTAGTTTAATTCATATCACAACAAATCGCGTACCTTTATTTATCCTTTCAAAAATAACAAAACATTGTGACACAGATTTTAAAAATAATTTCATTGCCAAAAAATTTCAAAAAAATTGGAATAACGTAGCAATAATCTGTAGCTATAAATCCTAGGAACAGGTTAACAAAAATATCTAAAAATAATATATAAGATGTTTCATTAAAAAAACTAAATCGTGTGTTATGTCTTAAAAACAGAACACTCTGTATAGTAGTTTCGTTCCACGAATTCCGAACTACTAAGTTGCATGTCAATAATTGAACCAAATTTTTAACTAAAAACATATTTAAATTATTTATTAATCTGGAGAGATAGATGCAAATATATTTCGTATTAAGTAACGTACCTACATTAAGAATAAAACACTATGCAAATATGTTGTGCTTTACGAGGCCATCATAACTTTTAATGTAATATACTTCGCAGAGTTCATTAACAAAGTTCTTTCATGTGGGAAAAGGTAAATTATTAATTTATTAATGTGACAAAAAAAATAGAGCAATCATAATTCTCATTCTCCCTTGTGACATATAAACAAGTTTCTTCGGAATATTTATATTGTGTTGAGAAATATAACATTTTTGTTGAAGTAAATACAATATAATAAAAAAACGTTTTACATGTTTTAAGCCTCACATATACGTTTAGTGTTATTTGTAACAACTTCATAAGTGCTGAAGCTCAGCGTGTCAAGTTTTCAGGAAGTTTTTTCTTTTGTTTCGTGTGGTAACGTTCTTTCGAAAACCTTGTACGAAGTTTCTCTTTACTCACAGAAAGTTCACAAAGTAGTTATCTCTTTTGTTTGCATGCGACTGACGGAGACAGACTGACATACTTGCAAGGAACTTAGCAGAAGATTCGTTACCAGTACACGAGCCTCTAGACACTTATATCAAATTTGAAATTTGATGAGTTCAGAATTTATGTAACACGTAGAAAACGTT